CATGACTGTTAGAGAAAAAGCTGTCTCAATGATAAGAAAAATTAGAGAGGAGAATCAGCAAAAGGAAGAATGCACTGGCAGATCTGAAGAGGAGGAGGAAGATTCTGATGCTGCTGTTGACGAGAATTTGTTAAACTATACTGATGAGGAGGGTAAAGATGGAGATGGGAATGAGGATGTGCCTCCTGTAGTCAACATGAGAAAGGTGGTGACTCCGAAACTAAAGTGGCAAGCAAAAAACTATCATTCCATGATTAACTGGAGGAATGAACTCAAGACTGAGCCTCCTTACATTGCTTCTCTGTCAAATCTACAGGTTAATGACATTCTTGAGACACCATTAGTGGTGCCCAAGTGGCCAAACAGCACTCAGGCGGTCGAGAGAGGCATAAAAGTGATGACTGAAGCTTGCACTGAAGTGACGGGATACGAATCGAGAGATGGATATATTAGGCAAAGATTATTGTCTAGGAAAATGATGCCAAGGTTCCGCACAAAAAAGAATTTCAATATGAACTTGTAATGATTTTCTATATGGTGTACCTGTAAAATAACATGTGAATTAAATCGATGTCACCCATGTAAAATTTATCATTATCCTGGAAAACATTAAATGACACCTAATTTTTGGTATACACTAAAAGTTGACAAAAAGTCGTTCGCGATGCGGCAGGGTAAGTATGCATGAAATGGCATGAAATTTTGCACAGGTGTTTGTTACAGCCATACAAACGATGCCTGAAAAGTGCAGCCTGCAACTCAAATAAAAGTGTTTTTTCCCTGCCCCCTATTGGTCTAGGTCATGTTTCTCACTTTTGATCTTTTTTTCATTCTTGTATTTCTTTACTGTATTATTATTTTATTATTACAGTATTATTGTTATTATTATTAATATTATTAATTTTATTATTATATTTTATTATTATTATTATTATTGTAATCATTATTATTTTATTTTGGTGTATAATTATTAAAAATTGTATTTACTATGAATAATTATTATTACTACAGTATTACATTTTTGCCCCCCAGGCCCCAATGTGGGTCAGTGATCTGTGCCTGGCTGGGCTAATAATCCCTGTAAAAAAAAAATGCCCCACGGTTTTCTACCATTTATGTTGTACTGCATAATCAATTAGGTAGGGTCTAAAATTATCTCCTTTTAATCGAGGTTAAATACTTTGGTCAAAACAACTTCAGAAATAAAAATACAGGCATCCCATGTTTTATGAAATAGTTACATATCTGAAAACTTGTCCGTAACATCAAAACCTTTTTTCCATTAACTTCCAATATATAATTGAATATGCATTACTACAGACAAAAGCTTCCCCCTTGAAACTGACTACAGTAAAATATTTCCATAGGAATTTTTAAATACAGTACAGTACAGTACAGTACAGTACAGTAAAGTACAGTACAATACAGTACACTACAGTATACATTGAACTGAAAAACAGTATTCTTTATAAACTGCACTTTAATCTATTACGGGACTTCCTTTTTTAATTGAGATGTTGGCCGAATGTCTTTAAATCTTGTGTTTAGTAAAATATTGGAGGATGGTATGATTTCAGAATTTTCCCCCATTAATTTTTATACTGTATTCTGAAAGAGTTTTCATTTATGTGAATTTTTCTTCTGTATTTCAACTCATTCTGTACTTTTGGGGTTCCGTTACTGTGAGTTTCCATAACTTGATCATCCGTAACTCAAGGGATGACTGTAATTCCAATGGCTAGTAGGTCCCTCAAGTCCAGAATGCCACTTAAAGTAGACAATGGATTGGCAGTTTTCATTTTTTTTTGGAGCAAAACATAAGTCTTCCTCCTGTACACCATATATGACATTACTCCAGCACCTGCTAGATATCACATCCGAGTCAAGTACAATTGACCCTATAGCATCGCCACTATATCATTTGTTGAGAAAAACTAAACACATAAGGCAGTTGAAGGCATACAGCATAAAATGCAATCATTAGCCAACACATGAATTACCCTAGCACATACCTACATGAATACCGTACTGATCCATATATTGACCTTACACCATGGATAAAATCAGATCAAGTCGGCTTTAAATACTGAATAAAATACTCTCCGTACAAAACTCATTAATTTCAATACTGAATTTCATTACAAAAAGATGTTCACATATGTTGCACATAAGCATGTTAACATTCTCTCTGAAGCATGTTAACATTCTCTCTACAATAGTGTTATTACATCCTGCAAATTAATAAATATGTTAATAGGTAACAGTGTAAGAACAGAATGATCGACATATATAATTTCCCGTCATAATAAAGAGAATTAAGAATTATGATATTGCTGTTGCTGTAACACTTATTTGAAAAAGAGAAAATTTATTTTTTATCCTCTTGTAAGTTATGTTTTGTAGAGGTTACAATATCTCAGTGGTTCAGCTTATACCTGTAAACCCGGTTAATTAAAAATTCAAATCACTGACCAATGGTTGAAAGTTTCCACTCACCCCCATCATGTCTTGCAAGCTGGATGTGTTTGTGTTGGTTGAATTATGTCTAATATTGTCCTCAATGGTGAAGTTACCCAATAAAAATAACACTGACCAATATTAAACTAAAAATTACTGTGAGTGACACATCCAATGACTGCCAGTCCAAGAGAAACATGGGATGTACTGTAAAAAACAAACAGTTAGTGCTTTATCCAAGTGTTGAAAAATTGCCATACACTTAAAGATCATATACACAAGTAATATTCCCACTACACATAACATGATGTAAGATAAAAATAAAATCTAAATGACACTAATGAAATGAAGATATAAGGATGAAATCTTTGATGACAGCCAACTATAACAAGCCTTTGCTACTGAAACAAACAAGACTATTAAAGAGTAAATAATGTATACAAGTATATTCATATTTATACATATTATATCCCTTTATAGGAATAGGGATCAGTTAATGAGAAAATATTACTGATACAGTAAACCCTCGCTTTTAAACAGAGTTGAATCTCATAAGTGGACCTGTAACTACAAAGTGGTGAAGGCATCATATACGTAGTGTAAATAAAATTCAGGGATATATTTCAAGATCCACCAAGACCAGCCAGTACTACAATCTTTACTCCCTATATACTGCATTACAGCCCTTATAATGTATGATACACTAAAATAAATAATTAAACACAAATGCCTACCATACACATTGAGGTACACAGAAAAAAAAGTATCGCTCAGAGGGGGGAGGGTCTGCTGACTTCCGTAATGATCCATACATCACCTGATGTGTTCATATTCAGTTATACGATCAACTATATATACGGCAGGATATGCCATTAGCAACAGATATGTGAGGACACCGGGGCTACCACCATAACACAGGACCAACAACATATTCCACTATCCCTCGTGCATGGTGTCGCATTGTTTCGCACATAATCCGTGCGGTACTTTTTTTTACTGGGTGTACCACACTGATGTTGCATAAAACATTCGATGAATACACAGTTTAGCAGAAAAAGATCTTTTTCTAAAACATTCTTATTCTTAAAAAATTCCAGAGTTGATTCTGTGAACAGCATTATTCTAATACAGTACATCTCATATTCCCCTTAAGTGAGAAAGGCTTTATTTATCCCACGATGCTATTTTTGGAGGTCAGGAGATGGCTCACACGAGAAAAGTTTTACTGATTCACATAGGGCATGTGGGCTGTAAGATGCTGTACATTAAATTATGTATTACTTCTGCTCTTAGATATTAACCTACAGTGGATTTGGAATATATTTGTAGGAAATTATATTCATTTAATGTAGAAGTACAACAAGGGCTGCTTAAATGTATTCTCTAATTGTTGTTCCCACGAGGAAGGCTCCAGTGTTGCCAAGGGAAAGTGGAAGATGATGCCTGACTTCCTTCAAAACCATCAAATTCACAACAATATCTGAATAAAATTTTAAATGCAGATGAATTTACAAATTTGTTTAAGTCTATGTTGCGAAGCAAAAAATGTCCTCAGGGGAAGGGATACAGTAGCTCTCCTGATCTGGTGATAGTTTTCAAATTGGTACCAGATATTCCTACCATGCCACCCCACACTGCATACCCACACAGCATACCTATGAGATCTACTTTACACTTTCTTATTACTGTTTGTAGTGCATTCACTAAGATGACTCGGCTTCTTCTGCCAAGAAAAGGAAAGTGATGTGACAGTCAGTAAGAAGATATAAGCTTTTTCAGATATAAGTGTGGGAAGATTTGGTGTTTAAGGTGGCAGCTTGTTATAGATGTCTATGGCATTTATTATATAACCTACCATAGTTATTATACTTATACTGTGTACAGTATGAATTTTGCATTCTAGGGACATAAAGCAGTGAAGAGTGATTTTCTGGCTAAGCAACAAGAAGTGTATGTACGGAAACATGATGCTGTGGAGATGCCATTTTAATAATGAAATAAATGTAAGTCCTATATTTTATTTATACAAAACGCTTCATAATCATGTATTAACGAGGGTTTACTGTCAATTACCTTCCAGCAAATAAAGCTCTTAATACTCTTCTGTACACTCACTCTCGTACCATTTAAAAGCTTCAAGCTGTAAGCAGTATACATTAAACTGTTATCTTTGTGAAACACATAAATATAAAGAAATCTACAAAGGTACTATATCTCGTGACTAACCAACTCATAATTATCTGCAGTGGACCACACAACTCGATAATCCAAAATATGATTAAATATTAATATCACTTTATATCTATAGTCTACAGTATATCTCCGATAAGTAAGAAATAGCAATCTCACAAAATTAACTTCAATACAGTAATAGCAAAATTATCATAAAAGTCACTTCAGCACTGAGACCCATCACACTAAAGATTGTAAAGTAACTCTCAATTTAAACAATTATTATTAATCCTTAGTAATTTCATCTCACTATATTTGTTCAAGGGGTAACTCCAACACCATCGACTATCAGATCGTTCCCCATTCCCCCAGGTAAAATTACATCCCCACTGGAGCTACAGTTTACCACAGGGTTGGGCATGCGTGGGGTGTCTGTCCACACATTATTAGGGAATATAGAATAAAGTCTAGTTTTTACAGTAACACCTATAGAGGAAGACTTGCCACTTCTCCCATCTCTGTAACTGGATCTTCTTCCAAACTGTAGCTGAGCATGACCTTCAGGGACACATTCAACTGGAAGGAAAAAATAAAAAAAATGATGATCAATGTGAACCCTTCAAAGAATATCCAAAGTCCTGAAGTTACCAACATCCTATCAATATCACTAAAGCACTTAGCTACTCTTAACTGTATATTCCACATTCGGGAAAAAAAAAGAAGACTACTCGTATAAAAAGCAACATTAAGTAGAAGAGCCTAACAATATATTTATCAACTGGGTCTGATCCCTTATCAACATACTATCATTATCATCAACAGCATTTTATGGGCATGCAACTCAGTGACACAGTAGCACACAGGTCATGTGACCGACCAGTCAACACTTACTTTATTTGGATTAGCAATGAGCATAATTTGTGTAATGGCAGGTGGAGGAAGGAACGGGCTATACGCTGCTAAGTCAGTTGAGGAGGGAGGTTGTAATCGTACCTTACATCCCTGAAATAAAAGCATCGCACTGTTCTTGGCAACCATTATCAAAAATATAATTAATTCTTTTCCATCTTCTGATACAAACTGCAATATTTGTGAAATAATTACATTAAATGCAGAGTGCAGGACTTTATCTCATATACAGTAGTACAGTACTATATTTTTGCTTGAAACAAAGGAATTATTAGCACTCAACAGCAAAACTTCTTTCTCATCTGAGAATGTATAATATTGACAAAGGAAATTAAACTACATTATTACTTGGAATAACCATTCACACCTACAGGAAACTTTGCACTGGACCACACATAAAGCTACATAACTGGCACTTAAAAAAATTATGACATGAAATGGCAACACTCAAGAAGAAATTTCTAAACAGCTCAGCTGCATCTTTATACAGAAGTTTAAAAACATGTTTTATCTAAAGTATCTGGAAAAATATTGATTCCCCGTTATGTAATTAGACGCAGTTTCATACAAACATTAGAACCCGGTTTCTGCCTGCCAAATTGAATGAGGCGCGAAATTTTTTGTCTCAAAAGAAATTCGTTTGGATTTTTTTTTCTTGTGGCTTCTTGAACTTCAGGATGTAACCCTTCAGTATAAGAAGATTAAATATGTTTTTATTGTTTCATTTCTTTGATAAGCATTAAATAGTTTAATAAATTTTAATTAAATATGTCTTTTTACAGTTTCATACCAAACAAAGACAAGTGATAAGTTGATGAAAACCTAAAATTCCTATGCCCTCAATAAATGGCAGCACTGGCCAGCAGCATCTACATAGATTGTGCACAATTCACAACATTTCAAGTTCTATTGCTCCACCACTCACCTGAAGTTTAAACAACTACAATCCACAAAGCAGTTGTTCAGACTCAAGGCAAGTTATTATTTGTTAAAGAGTGTTCTGAAATGATGGAATTAGTGAGAAAGGGTGATGTTTTAAAGTTTTTCTATTGAAATACATAGAACAATACATGTATATTGAATACTGCAATTCCATATTGCCCAACAATCTTCAGACTCACTGTCACTTTGAGGGCGTACCACAGAAGGTGGCAGTGTTGAGGGTGGTGTAGCACCCCTGTATCTAATAGGCAGAAGACTCTCTTTATAGGTAGTAAGAGGATGAGAGACAGTACAGTACTTATTACAATACACTAATGTTAAGTGAGTTACCTTAGGAACAACAGCTTGCAGAACATAATTAGATATGGGTTGTAAATTGCGAGATACCGTCGAGACGACCACAACAGAAACATCATCCCGGGGCTGATTTTCCGTAAAGTGAAGTGTAACACTAACATCGTTGCTGTCCATAACAATGACCGATCCTTGTCTCCCTGCAGAAGAAAGGAAATTATTTTATCATGTATTGAACTACCCTGTAAGCTTCTCTTCAATATATAAATAAACGCTATATAAATATTAACAGAGTAATATCATACAACTCATCTTTTTTTAACTCTTATCTTACCACTATAATGTCAGATGGGTGGGACAACGAGCAAATATACCCACAGTCTGAATTCCTCAGGATTGAGCAGTATTTAAATTGTGAATAGTTTTGGATTATAGATATCAGCCTCTCAATTCTCCAGCAGTCTTAATCTTACAACATTGTTGCCAAGCCTTCGTTGGGTAATGATCATCAAACACACTAAGTGGCCAGTTCCAGAGTGATCCAGGCTTGTTTATTACCATTATAAGTCACTGGTAACTCTTTCACTCCTTTACGGTAGGAGAATGAATACTACTGATTATCACTAACAAATTATGCTTGTGTGTGCTGCATATGAACATGTAAGATCAATCACTGTCATTACCTTCCTTCATGCCAGACACTACAATATTTCAACTAAAGTATCTGCATTACGGTAACCATATCATATATCCTCTTGCAGAATGTAGGTAATCACATAGAAAACAGAGCAAACCTAGAATGTGTGTGCGGTGTGATTTACTACTGCTGTTTCACACCACCTAATAAGTTAACAGTAACTATGTAGCTACTTTCCTCAAAATCATTTGACTCTAAGCTCTCCACTCATGTACACAAACATTGCAGCTTCCTAGATGTCCATCACCCTCACTTCTGCTGTCTTCAACCCATCCCTCCATTTCCTTAGTTTTCCCTCTCCTTTATAATATCTACTTCTGAATTATACAATACCTTTACCAATCAGACTTGGGGTTGAAGCCAAGCCTACAGCTTCAAAGCCAAAGCCAGCCAATTAAGTCATAAAGCCGATGCCAAGCCTCCTGCTTCAAAGTCGTAAGCCATTGTAAAGTAATAAAGCCAAAACCAGCCAATTAAGTCATAAAATCGAAGCCAAGGCTTTCCAAGGCCACACGAAACTTTAATACCATTACTTAAACAGTATAATGTACTGGTCCTTCAGTTAACGAATACAATTCGTTCCAGAAGGTCGTTCGTTAACCGAAACCATTGTTTCAATGGGATTTTGGGTAATTGGTTCCAGCTCACCAAAAATTACAGTACATACAAACTAAAAATAAATGCAGTAAAGTACACTTACTTTCAGGTGTGCATGTATAAGGCTCCTGGTTGATGATGATGGGAATTAGAATGGGGGTGGAGGAGAAAGGAGAAGAGAAGGCAGTGGGGGTGGAAGAGATGTCACCCCATGCTTCATGCCGCCATTTCACCCATACAATTTTAAATCAACACTGCACTGCACTATATATTGTCAATATGTAAAATAAATTTCAGAATGACCAATAATTATACCTGAAAAATGTAAAAACAGTTTATGATCAAGAGTCTCAAGCAAGATGCTACCTCCACTGAGCAGAGACACAAACTGACGACATTCTGGGTGAGTCGAGTGGCTGTTTGGCGTGCAAAAAACTAGTTCCCTGTACTTCAATTATGTTAAATAATTGTTAAAATGACTAAAAATTTTAATATAAGACTTGGAAAATTATTGAATAGTACAACCTTCTTGATATTTACTCAAATGGTAACGAATTTAAGCCCTAAAACCGATTACTGTATTGACGGACTAATACTCCAGCTGGTGAGCAAGCTAAAACATATTGATATGTTTTCGTAAGAATTTCGTTAACAGAATTTTTGTTCGTTAACCGAATTGAAGATTCTTATGGAAGGTAATTCGTTAACCGAAATTTCGTTAACCGAGGCGTTCGTTAACCGAGGGATCACTGTATTACCTTACATGTTGATGAGAATACATAACTATGATATTCCAAGTTGCACCAAAACCATAGTGTAGATCTTTGAGATGGAAGGGATAATCCCCCTTACAATTCATGAAATTCTGAAGAAATTAAACCTCCCAAAAAAAAAAAAAAATATATATATATATATATATATATATATATATATATATATACTGTATATATATATATATATATATATATATATATATATATATATATATATATATATATATATATATATATATATATATATATATATATATATATATATATATATATATATATATATATATATATATATATATATATACCTATAGCGTTTTCACTTAGCGTTTTATCATCATACGTGATGCCTCAGCTGAACTTTCACTTAACATGGATTTTTTCCACATATACGCGGTGAGTGTCCGGCTCGAGACGCTATTTTTAGATTTGCCCCACCCGCCACCCTGCCTGACTGCCTGTTTTAGCTCATAAAATTCATACAAATTACCCGGCCAGAATATAATTTCAATTGCTGGAATTCTTATAATTTGGTGATCATTTTGAATATAAACATCATATATTTTGCATTAGACATACAAATTTTAGATAAAAATTTTTCTGAGTAACTATGTTATCTTTTGTGCAAAATATATGACATTTATATTCAAAATATTCCTGGTCTTACAAGGAATCCAGCAATGTCAATTATATTATCCTAACTTTAGTTTGAGGTATTATTTATTAAAATTTAGTGGTTATCCCACACATCTCCTTGGGACGGTTGGTGGGGGGTGGGGGGAGGGAGGGACCGACCGACCATCTGTTACCCCGTGAAGAATTTTTTTTTTTTTTTTATTAACTGAAGATATTTGTTTTAGCTCATAAAATTCATACAAATTACCCGGTCTGAATATAATTTACATTGCTGGAATTCTTATAATTTGATGATCATTTTGAATATAAACATCATATATTTTGCATTAGACATACAAATTTTAGATAAAATTTTTTCTCAAATTAACTATGTTATCTTTTGTGCAAAATATATGACATTTATATTCAAAATATTCCTGGTCTTACAAGGAATCCAGCAATGTCAATTATATTATCCTAACTTTAATCTGAGGTATTATTTAATACTAAATGTTAAAAACCCTGGAAGGGAGGATTGGTGGGGGTGGGGGGGAGGGTTGGGACTGACCGCGCGGTTGGAAGAGGGGGGGAGGCAAGGTGGGGTACTTTGATTGACAGATAGTGTCGTGAAGATTATTTTTTTTTTTATTAACTGAAGATATTTGTTTTAGCTCATAAAATTCATACAAATTACCCGGTCAGAATATAATTTACATTGCTGGAATTCTTATAATTTGGTGATCATTTTGAATATAAACATCATATATTTTGCATTAAACATACAAATTTTAGATAAAATTTTTTCTCTAGGTAACTATGTTATCTTTTGTGCAAAATATATGACATTTATATTCAAAATATTCCTGGTCTTACAAGGAATCCAGCAATGTCAATTGTATTATCCTAACTTTAGTTTGAGGTATTATTTATTAAAATTTAGTGGTTTTCCCCCAAAAATTTCTCTGAGAGGGAAGAGCCGGCAGTGTAGTGTGAGAGAGGGGGAGGGAGTTGAGTCCATTATTTGAATGGACATTAACTTGGCGACTGTATTTCTCTATTTCTCTTAAGTATTAATTGTGTGCATGTACCATCATAAAATTAAGATGTTATTTTACTACAACATGAATATTTTAAAAATTGGTTTATAGAAATAGACGTTTCTGTTAGAATTAATCATATGTTCTGTTGTTCATATTCATATATATATATATATATATATATATATATATATATATATATATATATATATATATATATATATATATATATATATATATATATATATAGTTGTACCCCACTTAACGCGGTCAATTGAACCCAGAGGGTCCCGCGTTAAGTGAAAACCGCGTTAAGTGAATAACAGAACATATGGGATTAATTCCAATAGAACCCAGCCCGACCCCAAACTCCACTTTTTGACGACAAATAACTATGTTGTAGTAAAAATTCTATCTTAACTTTATGGTGGCATGAAAAACAAGTAATATAGAAGAGGTTAGGTTAGGAAAGATAAAGGTTAACATAGGAAAAATAAAGAATAGGTTAAAAAACGAAAAATTTTGAGGAACACTCACGGTAGTAGAAGAGATGGGTCGGCATACGGGGATGGAGGCTGGTTCCGAGGCAGAGGGCAGATTACTGCCCCTCAGGTGAATCACCATTACTAGGTGAATCACCATTACTAGGTGAATCAATATCACTGTCACTTACAGTTGTTATGGCTTCCCTGACAAATCCCTCAAAATCAACTTCACTATCACTGGCTTGGGCTGGCTGTGGTGGGTTGCGGGCGAAGAACTCGGTTATGCTTTGCTGACGGCTGGCTTTGATGTTGTCATGATACACCGTGATGTACGGCTCCATAGCCTGCACCAGTCGGGTATGGAAGACGTCATGGCGTTCATCGTCAGTGTCGCTGGAAACGATGGACTTAATTTTTTCTGTTAACTCTATGAGACACTTAATATCACTATGACTTAAACTAGGTTCTTCGGAGAATGACGCACCTTCTTCCTCCTCTTCACTGGCGGGTTCTTCTTCCAACATCTCGTCGGCAGTCACTTCAGGATCTCTGATCACCTCCATGATGTCTTCGTTGGTGGTCTCGGAGAAGCCTTCAGCTGTAATACTGAGCGCAGCTTCTCTGGCAAGGTCCACTGCTACTGCAACAGTCTGAACCTGACCAGTCACAGGTTCACTCCTCCTCTCACCTGGTATGCCATGCAACACATGTCTCCATGCGTGACGAATCGTAGCAATAGTCAGCAGATCCCATGCCTCCACCAAGAAGTCTACAGCTTGTTTGACGTTAAACTTCTTCCAAAATTGTTTGACGAGAAGTTCTTGAGTCGCCGCCTCTTGTTCCTTGTCCTCGTCGCTTTTACTCTCGCTGTCGGTGTCACCCAGCTTACGCAACTCATCCTTGGTGTTGGTAGAGTCGTTCAGGAGCTTGAATTTCTTTGCCGAGTATGCAGCTTTAACATTGCAGATTAACTCCTGGTCCATGGGCTGGATTAATGAC